AGACAAAAACTACGCCATAAGATTCTGCACCTGCCAGGTCTATCATAATTCAGAAATATTTTTGAACTGAATATGTGGCTCCTAAATTCCATTCCAACCTCCAGTCAAATTGCTCAAGATCACTTTTCTTGCCTTTATGTAGGCCAGTTTGTAAAATTATATTCTGATTAAAGAAAAGGTTTAATGCTGCTCCCACTGGAACAGTGGTACTATCCCTCGCACAGATTATTGGGCAAGAGGGGCTAGGCAACGTAGAGCAAATGAAGTTCAAGCTCTCTGGAAAAAAACGAGGTAACTGCACTTTATGCAGTAATAGATACATTATCCACGGTCACAAAGAGGTTTTCCTCTTTCCGGATTTACGATATGAACGTTACCGCCAATTACTATTATATAGTTACACTCGTACAGAGCATGAATCCATTACAACAGCAAGGAGCAACACGGAACTATTGCTCCTGCACAGAGTTCCCTTTTCTTACAACTTCACGGGCATCTTAAGTGCTTACAGTTCCAGGATCAGCATGTAATTAGGTCAGTGGAGCACTGATGATGATAGCTTTGTACAAGATGACCCATTTTCGCTAAAATGTTGTTTCTCTTATTGAAAGAAAGTAATGGGAGATGGCTAAACAATGTATTCCATAGAAATATCACGTATCGTTCATTTATTATGACACTTTCAAACCTCCCCTCCTTTAATCCCTCTCCCCCCTGCCAAAAAAAAAAAAAAAAAGAGAAGACTAAAGCTCATCACAGCACTCACAACAGTATTACATTTTCCTATTACCCACTTCCAAGCTGTACCCAGAAAGCTGATGTCAGATGTAATTTTTATGAAAGGCTTTTGTTGTTAGGAAAATTAGTTAAGTTACTGTTTATCTTAATAACTACAAATTAATTCATTAATGTGTAGCTTGCTTCCCAAAGGTAAATTACACAAATTATGCAAATAAAATTATTATTTGGAGGGAACTAAACATGTATTAAAGGTAGCTGTTGCTCAAAAAGGTCAGTCAAGATTAATAGGAGCAAATATGACCCATATTTTCTCCCATTTCCTTAGGAGGACATACAGCATGCTTCTACCAGATCTGCTCAACCTGTCCTAAACCGGCTGCTTGCTGCTCTGGTATAAGTGGGAATAGATTGGTGGGAACAAAAATCTTAGAAGGTTACTCAAAGAGCCATGAGAAACTTTGAAGCTGAAAAGAAAAGGAAATGTATATATTACTTGTGTAAATATTTAATTACACTTATACAACACATGGTACATATGTGTGTATATAAATCATGACGTTTTATTTAAATATCACTTCACTCTGCAGTATTTTACTAAAATCCCAATAGAAACAACAGGAACTGAAGCAACAATAGTGTAACAGTATGCTTCTCCTCATCTCAACAGCTATTTGACAGTAGGAAAAACTAGAGTGCACAAAGCAATCACTTAGTAGTAACAACGTTCTGGGAATAAGATCTGTGTTCTAATTAAGGACCATTAAAAAATACAAAATCAAGTGTTAATTATTCTGACAACAAATGGCTCTCTCCTATTGAACAGTATTCTTAAAATGCCAACCATGGACCAGACCTTTGGCTGACCTAAATTTATATAGTGCTATTTAAAGGCAGGAGAATTATGTCAATTAATCCCAGCGGGTGCCCTGAGCATGCATTTGTTATGTAACTGAAGTATAAAGATGCGAAATAAACGATGTTTGTAAAATGTTGGCGTCTACCACGCACTGCCAATGGAACACAGAAACAGCCGACTTCAGAGCCCCACTCATGCAAGATGGTCCAGATAGGAAGACCACCACCACCTGTGCTAATTCCTATTATCTTTGCTGCGATGTTCCACTCACAAGAGGAGGTCTTGCAGCACCTGGCACCTATACTGCTGTGAAGACACCTCTGTGGCAAAAAATTAAAAAATAATAATAATAAAAAAAAAACTGCTTAATTATTCTAATGCTTCAGGACAGAACTCATAATTACACTAAGATGGAACAACTCAAAAAAGGAAAACACTTTTTTAATACAGCTTTTTATCTGGCAGAAAACAGATTTCTGTATTATCTGTTGCCAGATTCAATCTCATAGTATGAGATTTCAGTTCAACAGTTGAATGAGGAAAAGAAAAAATAAAAAAGAAAAAACACAGGATGTCTAAGGAGGGCAATAATAATTCACTTCAGGTCTACCTCTTAATACAACAAGTTTTCAAGAACATTGCTTTTACCACATTTTGAATCAAGCCCAAGTATGCCCTTGCTTATGCAATCCTATTTTTGACAGTCATGCTTGTCATTGGTATTAGACAGTTACATCACCTGTTTAAAAAAAAAAAAAAAACACAGTTTTTTTCAAGCACTGTAAAATACCGTAGCAGAAATCATCTGACATTTTGTCTTAGAACGGTCTGCAGCAATTGGCCATCTATTTGCATTTTTTTTCTATTACATATCCTAAGCACATTTATATCTCATAACTGGCTGTAATGATCATAGCAAGGTCACCTAGAAGAGTCAATTAAGCTGATGAGTCAGATACATTGCTTAACAGTGTGCAATAAGACTCAAACAGAGGATTTTATTGTTCATGTTATTGCATCATAGTGATGTTATAACAGCAGCAAGATTGCTGTCTGGAAAAAAAAAAATATTGCATAAACATAGTTTGCATAACTATCTACTAAAATAAGTCAATTTAAAATGAGCTAAAGGTTTATTTTATTTATGAGTTTTATTTCAAGATAAAGGACTGAAAAACGCAGCGTGGTGCTGATACCTTTTGTAGACTGTGCATTGCTTTACTCGCAACAGAAAGAATGTACGTTCAACAAATTTCAGCTAAAGCGTGGTAAATACTGTTCCTTCTTAGGATAAGATTAGATGTGAGGAGGTCACATAAGTTCATATTGCTCATGGGAAGACTCTAAGCTTTTTGACACCTTTCAGATTAGTTCCTTAAAAAAAAAAATACAAACGAGAGGAAAAAAAAAAAACAACACAACAGCAGAAACTTGAAGCTTTGAAGTCAAATCCAGGAAGCTGGATATTATAAAAGCTAGTTAAGAGCCCTTTAGAGAATAAGACGAGATAAAAATAGAAAGTAAATAAAAATGGAAAGTAAAGGCAGATCGTTCTAAAGAGGGTTAGCACTTCAACAGTCAAATAAAGACATTTGTAATGTGAGAACTTTTAAAGCGGTATCTGCCAGTGCCAGTGATGTTAGGGATCTTTATTCAATAATCCTTGAACTCGCTGGTTTGAATTAGGTCTCTAGGTCAACACCCGAATCCTTATTCATTCACATTTCCGATAAAAGCCAGCATTTTGGTGGAGCAGGGGACCACAGAAGCGATGCACTTTTTTTCTTTTTTTTTTTTTTTAAACTAGCCCCTGGGTTGAATTAATGACCGAGGAGGGCAAGGATGACTCAAAGTGGGTTACGTACACAGGAGTGAGCACAATGAAACTGCGAGCAACCGCTGAAGTTACAAGGACGAGAAAATAAATTAATAAATTAATTAACTAAGAGAAATCAGGCTGGCTCGCTTCTGACACGGCAGCAACCCCCAGACCCTGGACACCGGGGCGCCGCCGCACTTGGCCCCCCCCCACCCACCCCGGGGGGCCGCCCCGCCGGAAAGTTTTGCCCATCTGGGGCATTTTCTGCCGCCGCCGCCACCCCTACGGCCACCTCGGCGGCTTTTTTTTTTTTTTTTTTTTGGTGACAAAGACGCCGATTTCGGCGTCGCCCACCCGGGCGGCGGGGCCCACCCCGGGCCGCTCCGCGGGGCCGGGCGGTGCCGGTGGCGGTCCCGGTGCCGGTGCCGGTGCCGGCGGGGCACGGCCGGACCCCCTTTGTCTGCCGCTCCCCCCCCCATCCGCAGGCCCGGCCCGGCCCGGCCCGGCTCGGCCCCTCCGTGCCCGGCGGCGGCGCATGGCGTCCGCCCGCTCCCTCGGCGCGGCCCCGGCCCCGAACAAAGGGCTGCGGCAGCGCCCCCAGCCCTCGCCCGCCGCCGCCTGGCGGACCCGGGGCGGGGGCCGGGGGGCAGCGGCCGGGCCCCGGCGCCTGTCACAGCGCCCCGCGGCTGCGCCGCACGCACGGCGCCCACAGCCCCCGGTAACGGGGCCGGCCCCAGCCGCGGGGGTCCCCCCCCAAAAAAAAAAAAGGGAGCCCCGCGGCTGTGCCGGGCTGGGTGTGCGGGGACAGCCGCAGGGCACGCCCGCGTGCAAGGAGCGGGGGCAGCGTGAGTGTGAGTGAGTGTGTGTGAGTGAGTGAGTGTGTGAGTGTGAGCACGGGGCCGCCCCGCCGGGCACGGCTCGTCCCGCGGTGTGACAGAGCCGGGCACGGCGCCGCGTCCCCGCTGCTACACCCCCCATATATATATATATATATATACACTCATGTATGTATATATATATTTTTAATTCCTCTTTTTCTTTTTTTTTCCCTTTATATATATATATATATTTTTTTTTTTTAATTTTTTCCATGTATTTTCCCGGGGCGCCAGACCCGTCCCGCTGCTCTTTGTGGCCCGGCGCTGCCGCCCCGCTGCCGCCCGGCTGCGGGCGATCCCCGCGGTTACATAACGCCGCATTTCCAGGAACCCGGCCCCGCAGCGCCCGAAAACACACACACACACACACACACACACACATCCAAAAAAAAAAAAGCAAAACACGAAAAAATCAAAAATATTAATAATAATAAAAAAAGGCACAGCGCGCACCGGCAGCACCCCGCGGCGCCGCCCGCTCCCCGCCGTGCTGCGGGGCAGCCTCCGGGGGGTGCCCGCCCCGGCAGGACGGGCAGGGCAGGGCAGGGCAGGGCAGGGCAGCGCCCCGCACCCCGCACCCCGCACCCCGCGCCCCGCAAGCGCTGCGGGTTATGTAACGGCCGGCAGCCGCCGCACAGCGCGGTACCTCGCGGCACGGCTCGGCTCGGCACAGCACGGCTCGGACGCGCCCGCCGCGCCTCCCTACCTTGCGTGCAGGGCGAGGCGGTGCGGGGCGGCCGCTCCGCTCCGCTCCTCTCCGTGCGGTGCCGTGCGGGCAGCACCACCACCAGCAGCAGTACCGGCAGCAGCAGCAGCAGCAGCAGCAGCAGCAGCGTCGTCGCCCCGCTCAGCCCGCCCGCCCGCCCGCGAGCGTGCGGCGGCGGCGGCGGCGCGGAGGGATGTGTGTTAGTAGGTCAGCGCTGCGCCGCGCGGGGCGCGCAGCCCGCATGCCAGCCGCGCCGCGCCGTGACTGGCGGCCGCGCCGCGGCCAATCGGCGCCGCCAGCCGCCGGGGGGCGGCCAATGGGGGGCCGGGCAGGGGGCGGGGCGGGGCGGGGCGGGGCGCGCTTACAGTAGGGCTGTGTGCTGCGCATTGCATAACCGCCGCCGGGACGGGGGGCGGCGGCGGTGGCGGCGGCGGCGCGCGCGGGGGGCGACGGCGGTTACGTAACGGCCCGGCGGGGGGGGTAACGGGGGGCTCGGCCCGCGGCATGGGCGGCGCCGCCGTGTGGTGAAGGAGGGGGGGGGGGCTCGGGTGTGAGGGGCTCGGCGCCCCCGGTACCTGGTGGCGGAGCCCGGCCGAAGCTGGAGGCGGTGTTTAAGTGGTGACCCTCGGTGGGCACAGCCGGGGGTACGGCGAGGCAGGGGGCAGAGCGCTGGTGCGGCTGAAGGGACGCGTTCAGCGCGGTTTCTTTCCTGCTCTCCTGAGGTACAGGAAAAATAAAATCCCACGGTTGAGAGCCGCTGCCAGCTGTCTGCACAAAGGGAGTCCGCGGACTTGAGGAAAAACTCCGAGAAGAGAACGGTTCTGTGAGTGCCCACCTCCGCTGGCCCGTCTCCTGGAGGGATGAAGTAGGGCACGCAGGTCTTGAGCTACACTCCTAGCTGCCTTCAGCGTGCCGGGATTTATCCTGGCTTCTGGACAGCAATATATGCACTCCAACCCCTGATGGATTCGTCTGTATGTATCAGTACACAACGGCAGCCCTCTTAACACCGTCTCTGATTTTCACTTAATGAGCGGTGCTGAGCCTACGTGTTGTAACACTGCTACGGGAAGGGTCTAGCAAAGGGGCATTTACAAAGCAATTAATAAAAATATCGCAGACAGTGCCTTCTATCATCTCTAACATCCTCTGGCTTCTTTATACTCTCTTGTGTTCGTGCTTCTTGGGTTTTCAGTAACGCAAGGTCTGCGTCTGACCCAGCCCAGAATTCAAAGCCAGCAGAATTCAACAGCAAAATCCCAGTGCTTTCAAAGAGAAAAGGCTCTAATTCCTCACCCTTGTTACCGTTCACATTCAGGACAGAATAATCCAAATTACATGTAGTTTGGAGTGAAATAAAAATGAAATGCTTTTTAAGATCATGATATGTTAAACATGTTTTGATGGCTTTATTTATATATGTATACTATATATATATATAAAATACACTCTGGAGTTAATTGAAATATGTATATATATACACATATGTACGTATAAAATACACCCTGGAATTCACTGAAATACTGCAACTTGTGCCATAACCCTTGGCTTCCCTGCTTTACATTCTTTATAGCTGTAGGAGCTTTGCTATATAACAATGCAATCAGACTACACCATATTCACCAGCCTTCTCATACATTTGATGTGATCTGTGCTCAAAAGCATTTAACACTAACCAAGTCCTTCAGGGCTTCCTGCTCAAGATGAGTAGTAGTGAAAGTTCTATAGAATAGATGATACTGTGATTTTATAAAGATCTAAGCCAGAAATAAAATACATTAAAGAAAAAGGCAAGTCATTTGACTACAGTTCAAAGTACTAATCAAAATATTTCCGTGCATCTGGGAACATTTGTGGAAACTGTACTGGAAAAATATTTGTGCTGTAATGTACCCTTGCTAAAAGCAAACCCAAGAGAAATAGATGTTCACATTGTAACTTAGGCAGACATAAGTGAGGCAATGTTTACTGGCGCTGTTAAATGTGAAGAAACACCAAAAATTGCACAATAAGTGCACGGACTAAAGAAAGAAAATTTGTGTGATACTATTTACACTGCAACAGCCAACTTAAGATTGATGGGTCATTCATAACCTCCACATGACACAAAAGTGCAAAAGCAAATGTGATGACTGTGAACAGCAACAAATGAAATTAACTTGCATAAAAGTTACTCAAATGTCAGTTAACACAAGCCTGGCTCAATTAGTCATCTAAATGAGATTATACAAGAATGATGATACAAGCCAAAAACTTCGCTGCCTGGTCTCCCGCAGAGCCAAGGCACAGGAAAGTAAAAAATCTCAGGCAAAGTTTTTTAGACAGGGGCTAACGCTGTTCACCGCCACTGTTCCAGTCATCTACTTCTCTGTTTCATTTGTCATACTCCAAGGTGAGAGATGTGTAAAGAAAGCAGTGGGATGTTTTTTGGCAGTCATTTCTTATATACATTTGAGACTTGGTCTTGCCATTTAATCTTTGCTCACATTAGTCATCCTACTGAGTTTGATGATTTACATTTGTGAGTAATCCTTACTTAAGTGACAGCGCTAAATCTATAAGAAATGTATCTCCCTCAATTTTCACCAAAATGCTTGAAACACTTGAGTACACTTGACCACGGAAGACAGACAGACACTGAGGCACACCGTATTCTATGACGTTGTGCTTTGAGGGATGATGGGGAGAGCAAACACCACACGAACGATTTTTACAGCCACAACTAAGAATAGTAAAATACGTATTAAAATACTGAGCAGTTGGCTCTTCTATGACAGTAATTATCAGTGAGTCATTTGTTGAAGCCACTATGCTTTGCAAAATAGTTTGTAAATGTGTTCTATTGAAGTGAAAATTGAGTAGTAAACTTAAAGACATTAAGAGCTATAAAAAGTTTGTCACACAGCAGTGATTAGCAGAAAGACAAGAAGAAGTCTTTGTTCTGCGCAGGGGATCTCTGTGCTACTCTTTTATGGTTATTTTACGTTTAAGCTGTGCGTGCACTGGGCAGGCTAATTATAGCCTTGTGTAAAAAAAAGGAGTGTAACTCTTAGTCTTAGACCCTCACTCCCAAGGGCTGCAGAGAGACTGGAAAACAGCCTGAGCAGAGAACGTTGGAAAGGATGTTCCTGGTTGTTCAGCAGCAGCTGAATGGTTGCATGGACTTTACTATCGAAAGTCATGCAGATGGCTTAAATCAAGCTTTTGCTCCTGAAATTCTCTGCTCAGCTACTCAGTAACTTTGGGGGATTTATAAATCACATTTTCATAATTTGTTTTGGCCCTTAACATGCTCAGATGACTAAAGCTTTTTTCCAGCTGTGTGTGGAAGGTGATGCCCTTCTTGCAGGTAGGTCCATCTAAGACCCACCCAGAATCCCACCTAGAAACTGGTGGAAACTGAGACCACTTCTGCCCGCGTCCAGAGCAGCACTTATTCTGATAGACATTTTGAAATATTTCTACCAACCACCTGCTGGTATAAACTCCTGTTATATTTGAGACTTCCTTGCTCTTGGACTACTGAGTTCTAAAATTGATACATCAGGAGGATGGGTAGAAAGTGGCCTAATACAGAGAAAAGATTTTAAAAGTCACCAGATCAGACAAAGAGCAAAAATGAGCTTGCATTTTATAGCGTAGCCATCAGGACATTCACCATGGAAGGAGGGTATCTGTGTTCCACCACTTAACTTCAAAGACAGCTTATGCATCGATAGGACTGGACACAATCCTGAGGAATATCCTGTGTTAGCCTGGATAGATAGATTGTCATCATGGATTTGTGCAAGCATGTTGCATTCATTCTGCCCTGAACCATACTGGTTCCCTCATAAAGCATCACATGCAAAAAGCTACTTATTAGCTAGCTCAAAAATAGCTCTCTAAAAATAAGTATCATGGAGACTTACACAATAATGTACACATAGTTTTCTTCATTGTGTTTCATGCAAGAAGCAGATGGCAAATACAAAAAAAGATCTGAATGTAGCAAGACACTGAGCTTGGGGATTATGTAGTCCAAAGAAGCCAGTCAGGCTCAGCAGTCTGTAAACAACGCCATTTTAGAGGTAGGTGTCTTACCTACTAATGTCTGTGCCTTTCCTTTACATGGGAAACAGAAGTCTAATACATTAATCTACTAACAAGACTCTCTTTATTTGCCTATAAACACCAGTCCCTCAACAATACCCAGTACAAATCTTGTGTTAGAACAGGTAGAAATGGATAAAATCTGTTGTGAAATTAAAGTGGAACTAGAAAAAAGGAAATCCTGATTTAGTATTCCATATATGTATGTGATTGCAACACTCAAAGAGTCACAAGTATCTTCTCTCCAGAAAGGCTAATTCATTTATGACTTCAGAGCTGCTGCTAACACAAGTCATAGCAACACAGGAAAACATTAAGCTTGACTGTAATCCTGCTTTTACGTTGAGCTGTCTGAAACACGGGGCAACGCTTTGAAACAGCACAGTAAGTCAAGTAATGGTTTAAAAAGCCTGCAGTGTTACTGGCAAGCTAGCTGTACCTGAAATTGCGAGTCATCTACTATTCCAGTGAAATATTTTAATGTTAGAGCAACTTGAGAAATGATCAGACGTAGCACTAAAAGCGGAGCTATGGCAGGCCAAAATGGAATGGGGCAGCAAACTAAAAGGACAGTTTTTTTTTTTCCCTGACAACCCATTATTATTAACTGCATATAGCACATACCTTTGCAAGTCACCCAACCTCCCTTCAGAACATGATGAAATCTGTCCCTTATCTCTGCTAGTGATGACACATCCTATAGGAAAAAATTCTTTTGATTTGTTAAGATAGCTTCTGAGATGCCTTTCCTCTTATTCAAACAGAGGAGAAGTCAGGCAGGGAGAAGGACAGTGCTGAGGAGACCTGGTGTTTGCCCAGTGCCTGATGTGGCTGCATGGGGTTGCATTTGAGGTGTGAAACTCCAGCTGTTAACTGGCAGAAGAGTGAGACAACTGTGGTAAAAATCTAAGGAAAAAGAGGGATCAGTAAAGCAAAATTCCCCAAGAACATTCAACAGTGAATAAACATGCAAAGAGTAGGAGATTGTTTATTTTCCTTTAGGCCAAATCCCAAGTGCTCTCCATGTAATTGGTGAAAATAAGCCTAGAGTCTGTCTCCCATAGTCCCTGCAAGTTCTGAAGACTACACTATGTTTTTTAATTCAATTTTACTTATGTTTGGCTCAAAATGCATGAGAATAAATTTGTTATTTCTCTGGCATGGGTTATTTTCTCAAAAATTAGCTTTTTCTCTCCCTTTAAGTCTATGTCTAGAAGGCATTACACAGCATCTTGAGCCATACGAGCTAGCCTAGGAAGAGAGTTTTGTTTCAAAAGTCAGCTAAGTAGTAGTGGTTGCAGTTGTAGTTCTGCTAGGATACTCTGGTTAGGCTAGTTAGCCATACGTGAACGTCATCAAGTCTCAGAAGAATTAGCATCGTCAATTCCTTCCAGAGTTACGTATTATTCTCTCACAAAAAGATGTTTTAATTTTCTATCAACTATTCTAATGGAGGTGAGGTGGTGTTGGTTCCAGTGGCCAATATTGGGAATGAAATAAAGGCTAACAACAATTTTCACCTTGCAGTCTTACCTCACCTTCCATTTACCACTCCCCTTACAGAAGTCTTGTGCAAACATCTTTCTTGCCCTTCCAAGACCAGGCATCACTGCTCTTGCCTTCCCTTGAGGCAGGTAGTCTTGTCTTGTGATGAGGAGCCCACAAGCCCAGGGTCCCCCATCACGGAAGCACTTTGTTCAATAGGCTACCCTAGAATTGGGAAGTCAGAAGGCCTGGCATTTCATCTCCCCAGCAGACAGCTGGCCAGACTGCTAAGGAGATGGGTTGGCAAGCTGGCATGAAACCAGGCAAGATTTTGACTGAAACCTGCCTGGCAGGCAAGTTTGGAAATGTGCCTCTGTTTTGTCAGAAGATTTGTTAAAACAGACACATTCCCACAGAATGTTCTGATTTTGATTAATCGGTATTTCACGGTGGGCATAATGTTCCCCTGGAAGTTTTCTGACCAGCTTCGCTGACTGTAAGCTGCAGGTTGCTGACAAGAAACTGAATGCTACTTTGGAGGAATGCTCAGCTCCACTGTGCCCATCATGAATAAGGGCAGAGTACAACATGGGCAAAGACTTCAGGCCTGGGCCATATGACAATGAAAGAGTATTCTGTAGACATACATAGAGACTAAGCCCTTCTCATGCACTGAAAAATATTAAAAATATTAAATATATTCAAAAATATTAAAAATATTCAAAATTATGAGTTATATTACTCAGTTTAGATCATCTCACACAAACCTGCTCTCAGTTTGTCATTTAATATTATGAATTATGGTCATTAGAACTGCTGAATTATGAAAATAAGACCATAGGAA